TTTTAAAACATTTGTTTTCTGTGATACAAGATGAGATCAATTATGAATTTTTGAATATTTACTGTATATTTAATGTTCATTTAGATGCAATCCCCCACACTGTTTTAGTTATTTACTACATAAATACAAAGTTCTACCATGAAACTCTAGGCCAATAGGTTTTAACTCATCTAATAGAATCACATCATTACTGAAGTCGTTTTAATTGCATGTGCAGCCAGGGACGGACTGGGAGTAAAAAACGGCCTTGGATTTTCTCCCAAATAGGCCCAACACAACTACAAACAACCGCTACTATCTCACAATATTACAACAATCAATGTATTGCATTTATGGCAAATAACATCACAAAACCCATAGTGGCCCTGCTGAAAAAAACAATAGAAACCATCACAGAAATTCTAATGGTTTCCACTACAAATGCCATTACAAACATTACAAACCATCAACTTTTAATCATTAAAACCATTAAATAATGGTTTTCTGTAGTGTGTTTTGGGACATGTTTCATTAGGATTTAGTGGTTTTAACAATAATAATATTTAACAACAATAATAGGCAACCAATTACCAGTAGAGACCAATAGGGTCCATTACAATTTCCATTAAAACCAATACAATTTCCATTATAACCAGTAAAAGCATTACAAATTCTATTGATGGTTTCTATTGTTGTTGTTTTTTTCAGCAGGGGATTGAATTGCATTAGAGCCCCCTTTTGTCGGCTGTCAACATCACTTAATTTGACACTTTTTCTTTGATGATGAACCAGCCAAGCCGAACGTTCTCCAGAACGTGCAGATGGCCAGTCCGCCCCTGTGTGCAGCCAATGAGCTCGCTGCTCAACATTTAAATACTTAGCTAGTGTTTGCTGTAGAAGTTGCAGCGCACTTCAGAAACCCTCCACCTCCCCCAGCTCCACCTGTATAGATCTGCAATGGGGTACTTTTATGTACGCTATATATGGGGGTTATTTCATATGTGTTATATGTGCAGCAGCAGTATTTCTGACATGCTCACAGCAGCATGTCTCTGGATGGACTGGCAGTAGCAAATCTTGGTACTGGTTCTGCCGCAGCAGCACAGCAGATCTATTCCACCAAGATCAAACACATTAACATTGCCTTGCACATTACCATGCTAAAACTCTCCGGGAGTTGTCGTGACAGAAATAAAGAAATGCATGATTTGTAAGGGATTCTATTCAGGGGGTCACAGTCAAATCAGATTGGTCTGAGAGATGACGTGGGATTAAGTGACTCTGTCCAGTAGTTTCACCTGTTGCCAGATCACCTGGACTGCACACCTGTTGTTGTTCATGCCATTGTGCTCCACCCTTCTTAGTCAACACTACTGCAGAGGCCAAAGAACAACCAGTGCATCAAATCACATCTCACTCTGTCTCTGTATATGAGCCAAAACAGATTGTTTTCCTTGTGTTGTCTAGTATTTTCTTCATGGATACTTCCTGCATTTGATAATTCCTCATTAGCAAGTACAAATTATGTGAATGTACGCAATTTACAAAATACTGTATTTAACCACTGATGCAACCCAATATTTAAGATTTGGGTGGAATTAACAATAAAAACATACATTACGACTGACCACTATTTTGAAAACTGGGATCCTCTTTGAAGAGGGCCACAGTTGATCTTCTGTGTAGACGAAACCAAAAAAACTAGACAACTAAACAACTAGACAATATTCTAGCAAACATTAATGAGATTCAGTACAAGAAGTAGGAAAATGCAGCTGGCATCACAAGTTCAAACTCCTCTGTGATTCCTTCTTTTCAGAAGACAGACGTTGAGTCAGGGAACAGGTTAAACAAAATCTACTGGTTGAGTCACTTGTTATTTGAACTGAGCACTGATTTAGTACAAGAACGAATCTCTCCTTTTACACTCACAGCCTAAGAAAAACAAACATATCTCGCTTAGACACAATGGTGCAGAAACAGGTTTTCTGAATGCATTAGCTACGGACAGCAACATCACTATTTTGGGATGTATATTGTGTAAGCACATATGGGTTTTAACACATTTTGTTACAAATTTGTGGAACTGTTTGTAAATACTACTTTTAAATTATACTACATTATATATATGAACAATATTTGTATGCAAATTACACTTTATTATTACTATTACACTTGCATGAAATTTATGCAAAGTGTCACTTTAATAAAAGTAGCAAATGCATAATGCATTAGCATCCTAAATATTAAAATGCAAATGTTTATGCTATTCTCTTATGTCTTTCCAGTCGCAGACAGGTGCATTGTGCATACAGTAAAAACAGATTTAGCCTACCTTCATGTTTACCTTCCTCCGTCTGAGCGCGCGCAGGTGAACGGAGCGCGAGACACAGCGCGAGCATCTGCAGCAGAGCAGCATTCATCTTCATCATCCTCATCCTCAGAATATTCCCAATGTGAGGTCAGTCCGTCAGTCTGAGCAGACAGTTAGATATTCATGGCCAAAGAAGCAGGGAAGAGATGATGCTCCATTCACTTCGGCTTGTCCAAGTTTGACAGAAATTTGACAGACGTTTTTTCTCTCTCTCTCTCTCTCACTCTCTCTCGCTCTTCTTTCCTTTTTAATCCGAAAAGTTCCAAATATTACATTCAGTGTAGAGCAAACGAAAAAAATACCAAGTAGTCAATTTCCGTTTGTTGCGGAAAAGTTTATAGACTTAGGCTATAAATCCTTCGGTGTAGGCTACGTCAGTTCAAAGCTAACTAAACAAAAATTGTAATACAATCAATAGTTTGAGTTGAAAAGCTCCTGGAATACAGACGAGGTTAAAAGGTTTGTAAATATGAAAAGGCTCGAGCACGCAGGAATGCTGTCTCGAGGTTTGTTACCTGTTTACGCGTACAGGTGAACGATGCTGAACGCTGATTGGGTCTGATCAAGGTGACGTCGACCTTGTAATTCCAAAGCCCGTGCACTGATTTATTTCAAACATGTAAACAAGTCATAAAGCCTTGATTGTGAACTCCTGACCATCATAAACAGATGAATTTCCCTCAGTAAGCGACAGTCCTCACAGCCTACACTGAAAACACCGACGAGATTGTGATAAATTTATGTGCCAAGATTGCGCTCTCGCTCTCTCTTTCTCTCTCTCTCCCTGTCGCTGAACAAACACATACACACATCCGGGCTTTGCTGTATCGATAATAATGTTATCTTGGAGTGAGGGTCTCATTGTGTGTAAATCAAGGCTGGCATTGTGTCCCAGTATCGTCCACTAGTTTATCAGTGTTTCTTTGATGGCTCTGGACTCACAGTCTCACAAAGAACACTTTGTGCCTCAGTTCAGATGGCTTCAGACCTCCGAGACAAGAAAGTGTTTAGAGCACACGCACACTCTCAGACAAAATAAATAACTGCCAAAATAATACATTTTAAATAATATTTTATTATTATTTGTTTTTCCATTTTGATTTCCTTTTTGTAATGTATTCATTTTAATTCTATAAATTCTAAATGCCTCACAAATCACACATCACTCTGAAACAAAAACCACAGCAATTCAATAACTGTCAAAATAATACATTTGAATATTATATTAGAAATTGTATTTAACTTGAATTTTTATATATTTATTTTGTTCCATTTGAATGTCATTTTTGGATTGTACTCACTGTAATTCCCCAACAGTAATCACTAAACTTTTACTCTCAAACACAGAGATCACATCAATTGAATAACTGACAAAATAATAATGTATATTTTTTATTATTATATACATTGTTATATTGTTTCTTTTTTCCCATTTTTGTAATTTATTCTAAATGTCTCAACAGTATGAGAGCACACATCACATACTGTGCCTCACAATAATGCATTTAATTGTAATCTAAAATAATTATTAAGCTTTTTTTTTTATTTGAAAAAAATACACTTTATATATTTTTTCTTTATCATTAAGCATATTCCTTATAGTTCCTCAAATTTGACATGGCCCAAATGGATGCTACACGTTAATCAAATTATTATTTTGAAGTGTTTTTCTTTTTACAGCATGCAATGTTTTCTAATTGGTACTTTTTGAACAATTAACTTCCCCCTTGTTCTCCATTCAGACAGCATGTGAGTGTAGTCACAGTTGGAAAACAGGTTTTAAAGACCAGCTCTTCCTGCACTACCGGTTTGTATGAGGCACTGATTGAACAAACAAGTAGTGCACAGACAGACAAACACACACACAGACAGACAGACAGACTTACACAACAACCCTTAATGAATTCTTTACCGTCCTCTATATGCTCTGATACATCATATGCTATTTTTTTCTTTTTACAGGGAAGTGCAGCGCATAAACAAGGTCTTTTATGATTTTGGGACACATTCCTTGTTCGTTAATATCTCACCAGCCAACAGCATTATGGGCCAGAACACACTCTGATTGAGCTTTCTCACACACTTCCTACTTTGAACATCTCGTGGGTTTGTAAATGTTTCGCACTGTATATATGATACATTGGCAAGCACATATGCCGTAATGCGAATATGCTTTTTTGTTCTTTACTTCTTTCACAAAGTGAAAAGTGTCTGAAACTGTTGGTTTTCTCAATAGTTCTGCCCTCTTCTGGTGGACATAAGGGACTGCAGTGCAGAAAGAGACTCGCTATAGGCCTACTCCACGACTCCAGCTTAGAAGTTTCAAAGCACAGTTTATCTTTGTGAGACGTTTGCGATAAATAATACAATCCATTAAAGCTGTAATTAAATCTAGGATTAGACATGATCCATTTCTGGCGCCTACCAGAGATCAATATAAGACATTACACATAATATACAATATGATGAAGTCATTAGGTGGCTTTACTAAAGCATATTCCAGACCAGGAGGGGTAGGTTTATTCAACAGTATCCACTATAATCTTCCAGCAGGTGTGGTCATTACATAAGGTTCTTATGTCCACTTAAAAAAAATAGCATTAAAATGTAAAATGGAACCAACACAAAAGAGAGAAGACACAGCAAATAATTTTCATGTTTTTATTTGAGCGTAGCGTTACAGTCAGGGATCGGAGGGAGAGAAAGATTTTGGTGTCTACATCATAATAATCAACAATAATCTTTCTTAATCTACTGTAACAGATAATTACACATTTCATCCATGATTTCTAAGTTCTATTTATTTATTGATTATTCAGTGAGAAATTGTTTTCCCCTTCATTGATTATGTTCACTGACACTGTATAAGCCATTAAAATGATTTACCCAACACAGTAAAAAAATCAACAAAGAAAATGCATAAGCACACAGGTAAAAACACATTCACCAAAATAAATACATAAATAAAAATATAATATCGAAGAAGATAAAATCAAACTTTAAACCATCCTAAAAAGTCAACCCTAGCTACTCAATAAGCACACAAACTATTTAATGCAAAGAATAAATGCTTTGAAATCAAGCAAACTACCTATTTGAGATTTTTTAACCCCTTTTGTTCCCAGATCAACTAAAACAAAACAAGCAACTCAGTGACCCAATAACTTAGTTAATAAATAACCTTGTGAAAACACACTTTTGTAAGAAGATAAGGCCACAAAACTTAACAGACTGGACGATTCACACTGCAGACTTGTGTAGAACATATCGCTGTTTGCAGTATATGCTGAAATACTACTGTAGAGTGTGTTAGGCTAACTAAGCTTATGTTCCATTGCCAAACTGGATCATTTGAGGTTAAGTGTCTTGCTAAATAACACAATCAGTTTTGGTAACTCTCCCGTTCCTGCATCACCCACACGCTACAGCACTCAAAATAATACAAGACTCTATTCGAATCATGTCCTAGGTTGAAAAGACTTGCCTTTTATAATGTTCATACAGTCATAAGAGTCATAACAATGGGTTTTAGTGTAAAGGTGCTGGGTATTAAGTGGAAAGATGCCAAAAATGCAAACTAGAAAACAATGCTAGAAACACATACAATTACAAACAGACTGTGTTAGTGTTAGATTTTTGTGTGATGGATGGATTACCGACACACACGCAATGCAGGATAAGCAGTTTTGTTGTATTTACACTAGCTAGCATGGTAAAATAGGTAAGCATTTGATTTTTCATTTGTCCTTGTAGTCTGTAACAGATATAGATTATGTTATAGAATATGACGTGTTAAACACAAAAGACAACCTACTTTAAATATACATATCTATATATTTTTCTCATTTCTGAACTATAATAATCCAAAACACCATGAATAAAGCCCAAATGTGTGCACTGATTCAACAAATTCACATTCGTTGTGGGCGATGTTAGTCTGAACCCATAAAACGCATTATGAGCATGAAACATGCAAACAAACACATAAGCAGACGAGTTATTATGCAGTTTGCCGCAGACCACTGACATACCGAGGTTTAATGTATGTATGTGTGTGTGCTGTTTTATGCTGTTCATTAATATGAAAGCAAAAGCAAAAAATGTAGTGTCATAACAATCTACTAATCATGTCAGTGGCAAATTAGTATAGCAACTAATAAAGGACTGTGTTAAACAGCATTTCACTATCTATCTATCTATCTATCTATCGGACTAACAGCACAGCATGCATGCCATGCAGACAATGCTAGTGATTCGTACAAAACAATACCCATGCAACAACTAGCCAAGTCAATTCTACAACAAAGGGGCGTTTGATTGGAAAAAGCTTTATTTACAGCTTCACTTGAATGCGAATTATGGTGGACAACTCAACAGCACCACGTTTGACTCACAATTTAGGCGAGGGATGTGTGATAAGCGACATTCATTGTACAGCGTCCATTCTAGTACAGCACGGCCACAAAGCAGCATGCAACACCAACCAGCTTCGTGTGACTAAACACGTACATGCAGATCTAACCTCTACTACACCACAACGCTTAACACGACACCGAGAGAAAGAGCCATGCAAAACACAGCAGGGTATCTAACGCAATCACGAACCGCCGGGATTGCAGACTGTGGATATTGTGTGCGTGAGGAGGCAAACTGCATCATAATCGCATCTACGGAGCATTTCGACAATACGAGGAAATACATAAGCATATTACATAATACATGAGCACGCTCAGACCCAACGATCGTTTTCATGGCAGTCAAGGACAACACTGATCACTGATTGTAAACACGTGAGCGAGAGAGGGAGAGACGATAAAATCGACTAAACGTTGATGCTATAAACCGACACTTTTCGTACAGTGAAATGGAAAAGTTAACAGAGGAAATATTGATCTGCGTGTGAATGCGTGTGCGTACAAACCTACAGATGATTTACACAGAGCGTAGAAGGCTCCATAAACCACATACTGTGTTTTTCCAGAATACAACCAAAAAAGAACGAAAATTAAACAAAGAGAAACCAAACATAATGATTCCGAAGGCCAAATTAGTCCCACCCCTTTCCCAAAGCGAGAGACGGCCACGTAATGCAAATCCCGCCCCTCACTTCTTATTCTTGAGCTGATTGGCGAGCCAGTCGAGCCCTTCGTACAGACCGTCGCCGCTGGTCGCGCAGGTCGCTTGTATATACCAGTTGCGATGGCGGAGCGAATGGAGGCCGAGTTTGTCTGTGATCTCAGCTGCATTCATAGCATTTGGCAGATCCTGGAGTCAAGGAGGAATAAAACAAGAGAGTAGATTGTGAAATTGAATATTTGCTTAGATAGGATCAGATATTTTTATTCTAAAATAAATATACAATTTAGCCACAGAAATACAGACGATAGATTATGGACTGCCCATTGATGGACATGTGTTCTGTTTATATAAAATGTTATGCTAGTGACCTATATACTAATATTGAAAAGTTTGAGGAAGACTTTTTAATGTTTTTGAAAGAAGCTCACTAGGACTGCATTTATTTGATAAAAAGACACTTAAAACGGTAATATTGTGAAATAGCATTACAATTTTAAAGGGGTCATATGATGCTTTTTTAAAGATCATTATTTTGTGTATTTGGTGTAACAGAATATGTTGACATGCTTTAATGTTCAAAAAACACATTATTTTTCAAATACTGTACATTATTGTAGGTCCTCTATGCCCCGCCTCTCTCAAACGCTTCGTTTTCTACAAAGCCCCCTCCTTTTAAAGATTCCTAAATGCATCTACTTCTGGAAGGCCAAATAAAGTGCTTTTGCTTTCGTTTAGAAACACACAGCGTCTCCCTGACATGGCTGTTTCAACACTAACTGCGGTTACTGAAACCATGCTTTCTTTCTTTGCGTGCACATTTGGGTGGCATTATGGTAATATTTCCACATAGTGAGGTAGATATGTGGGGGCGTGTTAGAACGAGCTGTTTTAGGGGGGCGTGGCAGAGTCTTAACTTTGATAAAGAATATCTCTTTGGTTTTGAGACTTTAGTCTTTGCAACTTCAGGGATCTTATCTATGCACAATCAGCTTGTAACACTCCAAAGAGAAAGGAAAACTTGAAATCGCATCATATGACCCCTTTAAAATAAGTGTTTTCTATTTGAATACATTTTAAAATGACATTTTTTTCTGTGTTGGCAAAGCTGGATTTTCAGCATCATTACTCCAGTCTGCAGTGTCACGTGATCCTTCAGAAATCATTCTAATATGTTGATTTGCTGCTCAATAAGAATTTCTTATTATTATGTTGAAAACGGTAGTTTTGCTTAATTTTTTGGAAAATCCATGTTTTCTGGGTTATCTATGAATAGAAAGTTCAAAAGAACAGCATTTATTTGAAATAGAATTTGTGTTGTGACAATGTAAAAGTATTTACTGTCACTTCTAATTATTTAATTCTTGCTGAATAAATATGACCCCAATCTTTTAAATGGTAGTATAAATATGAAAATATGAAATTATTTTTTGGACATATATTTTGTGATCTGTCAGGTAGTAGGGATGCTTTAATAAACAAAATCACAGTACCTGTTTGTTTGCAAAGACAAGAAGGACAGCATCACGCAGTTCGTCTTCTGCAAGCATCCTCATTAACTCCTCCCGCGCCTCGTTAACTCTCTCCCGATCGTTGCTGTCAACCACAAAGATAAGACCTAAGGAAAGAAAAATGAGCAGAGATAAAGAATAGAGACTTCATTTAATTCAACGAGCAACAAACATTAACACAACTCAAAAAAGACACAGATTGTATTCAGCTATGCAATGTTTTGTTTAAAAAGAACATTGTTTATTTGAGCTATTTTACACTAAGATGTGGACATGTTAACCAGTGTTATTTTAGTATCATTGAGGTACTAATAGTTTTTTTCAATATTTTCCATTTTCGCTAATGCTTTAGGAATTCTGTTATGTGTTTTTGTCATCATTATTAGTTTTTTATATACATTTACATTATATATTTTATATAAAGAATATATATTTTTCTATAGTTTTTTGTATTTCAGTTTTAGTTATATATTAAAACATAAAGTTAAACTAAAATGAAAATTAATAATGTTGCCTAGGGAACTATTCCAATAAAACACATTTTTACAAATATTACATATTTTCTTTTCTTTCCGTCATAATTCAAGTAACAAAAACATTTTATGGTTTTAATTTTAGTTAGCTATAATAACCCTGCTTGATGTTTACAAGGTGGCTCTGCAGGACCAGCCATGTAAATGCAGTGTGTGCTCACTGAACACAACACAAACTACACAGACACACCAAATTACAATCATTTACACAGTCAACTCAATCCAGCTTGTGTTTTAGTGGGAGACGTGGAGTGTATGTGTAACTCACCCTGTGTATTTTGAAAGTAGTGTCTCCAGAGTGGTCTGATTTTATCCTGACCACCCACATCCCACACAGTGAAGCTGATGTTCTTGTACTCCACTGTCTCCACGTTAAAGCCTTAAAACACAAACACAAACATCACAAACTTGCACTGTGTGGCCCAGAATCACAGTACAATTCAGTTACTGTACATTCACCTCACAGCAACTGTAAAAATATAATGGCTCTATATGAAATACATAAAGTAAATACACATTTATACACTGTGTGTTTGAAATGTCATTGTGTCTCAGACCTTAAATTCTGCCTAAGGATGTACAGATACCTGTATAATAGTATTGTAAGTCAACATGACAATAGAATAAAGTAAGAGAAGGATTTTACCAATGGTTGGGATGGTGGTCACGATCTCTCCCAGCTTCAGTTTGTAAAGGATGGTGGTTTTACCAGCAGCATCTAATCCAACCATCAGAATTCTCATCTCTTTCTTCCCTATCAGACTCTTCAGCAGATTGCCAAAAATATTCCCCATGATTCAATGTTTTGCTTCGTCTAGCCAATCGCAATCCAGAAAGCTGTGAGTCCTTGGTGTGGAACAATTCACTGAGGTAAAAAAAAAACTGAAAGCCTTGGTTATTTAGGTTATTTAGCTGAGAAAAAGAATCTAGAGTCCTGGAAAGGGAAAAAGAAGAGGAAATGTTATTCTCACTTTCATAAAATGTGCACTTTTATTCAGCAAGGACATATTAAATTAATCAAAAGTAACAGTAAAAGACATTTATAGTGTTACAAAAAATTATATTTCAAAGTAATGCTGTTCTTTTGAACTTACTATTCATCAAAGAATCCTGAATAAATACATCATGGATTCCACCAAAATATTAATAAGAAGAACCATTCTCAACATTGATAATAATAAAAAAATGTTTCATGAAATCAGCATATTAAAAGGATTTTTCAAGAATCATGTGACACTGAAGACTGAAGCTTTGTCATCACTAGAATAAATTACATTTAAAAATGATTTCAATAGAAAACAATTATTTCAAATTGAAATATTACTGTTTTTTATTTACTGTATATTCGATAATAAGAATGAGACTTTATTCCAAAACAGTAAACAGTAGTGTAGGTATGTATGTACAGTTATACACTCCATGAAAAAAGGTACAAAAGCTGTCACTTTTCAAAAGGTACTTTTTGTTCCTTTTAGGTGCTAATATTTACTTTTTATAGATACTAATACATACCTTTATGGTACAAATATGCATCCTCTTATTGCAGCAAATGATCTACATAAAGTGTGATTCAGTTGGACTGACTGAATTTAAAGGGGTCATATGATGCGATTTCATTTTTTCCTTTCTCTTTAGAGTGTTACAAGCTCTTGGTGCATAAAGAAGATCTGTAAAGTTGCAAAGACTAAAGTCTCAAATCCAAAGAGATATTCTTTATAAAAGTTAAGAGTTAGCCACACCTACCTAAAACGGCTCGTTCGAACACGCCCCCACATACCTACCTCACTATGTGGGAAGATTTGCATAACACCGCCCAAATGTTCACGCAAAGAAAGAAAGCGTAACTTTGATTCTCGCTGTAGTATTGTATCCTGGGAGAGTAACGTTAGACTAACATGCCGGCAGTTCTGACTCACAGTCTGTAAGTACGTTTTCATTTAAAGGATTTGCCACTGATGATTCAAACGCGAGTTTTGGGCAGTGTGGATTAACGTTAGCACTTGTTGTTTGTCATTTCTCTGATCACAAATGCAGACATGGTTTTATGTTTACGCGGCGCAATGCAACGCAATGCGTAAAAAGACAGTATAAGTCATTATAATCAGTAATTATGTCCCCACTGGATGCAAACAAATTTGTAATGGGTTTTCATGTTTATGTCTCGTCGCTCCGGCCTGACACGGCATCAACAGTATGTGAGGGGCGTAACATTTCCGTCTCACGCTTGATGTATTCGGCCAATCACAACGCACTGGATAGTTGGCCAATCAGAGCACACCTCGCTTTTCAGACCGATTAGTTTTGTAAAAATCGACGCGTTTCAAAAAGGCGGGGCATAGAGGAGAAACAATAATGTACAGTATGTGGAAAATAATGTGTTTTTTTAACTTTAAACCGCATAAACACATTTCATTACACCAAATACACAAAATAATGTTCTTTTTAGCAGCATCATATGACCCCTTTAACATGTAAATGATGAGCAGTGCAATCTGAACATTTCAGCCAAACATTATTTCACCCGCTGTAATCACACAAAACTGATTATCAAAGACGCATTTGGAAGTTGCAAGCGGATTGAATGAACATGATGCTTTTGGATGTGTATACATTTCTGATCTTCACTAGTCTGCTTTATGTATACAAACTACATACTGAACTGAAGAAACTATGATCCTGCCATGTCTTCAGGCCATCCGGCAATCTGTTCATCCCTTTCATATCCCGCCTTCGCATGAACCCCCAATAGTCATCCCTGAACATTCCCAGATGGAGTTAGATGTAGAACACATTCCCCGATAACCGTGTTGTCCTAATTCACGAATTGTCAATGTATAAAGCTTAAATTTGAAATTATACGTGTTTAAGGGAGACTAAGGTTAGTCACACAGTGGCTTTATCAAAGGAAATGTAAGGCTTTGAGTCAAATGTCCAAATACACAAATCTATATTTTCTCTAGCAGTGTGTTGTGTGTCATTGTGTGTTTGTTTCAAACACCTAGTTTTAAATACTTTTAAAGGAATAGGTGACCCAATAATGAAAATGTGCTGAATATTTACTTCAGGTCATCCAAGAAGTAGATGAGTTTGTTTCTTTTTCGGAACAGATTTGGAGAAATTTAGCATTACATCAATGGATCCTCTGCAGTGAATGGGTGCCGTCAGAATGAGAGTCCAAACAGCTGATAAAAAAACATCTTGATAATCCACAAGTAATCCACACCGCTCTAGTCCATCAATAAAATCTGAACATCTGTGCGTTTGTGAGAAGCGAATCCTTTAAGATGTCCACAAGTCCATCAAACTGTTACTTCCACCCAAAATACAAGTCCTCGATCCTTAAAGGGTTAATTCACCCAAAAATGAAAATTAGGCTGCGTTTTACTCACCCCCGAAGCATCCTAGGTGTATATGACTTTCTTCTTTCAGACGAATCCAGTCGAAGTTATATTAAAAATTGTCTTTGATCTTTCAAGCTTTTTAATGCCACTCAGCGGGTGTTGCAGCGCTTCAGTCCAAAAGAAGTTAAATAAAAAGCGCCCATCCATAAAAAAAGTGTCTCACAC